ATGATGCTCTCTGTGCTTTAAACAGACCTCTGAGATGATCACAGAGAAGGTACATTTATACAGAGACTTTATTACACACAGGTGGATTTATTTATCATCATCAATCATTTAGATCAACATTGGATCATTCAGAGGGCCTCACTGAACTTCTGGAGAGATTTTCCTTCACTGCAATTAAAGGGGACGATTTATTTTGCACGCCCCACTCTTCAATTTTATGTTTTTTTTTAAAGTTTCAAATGTCCAATAAATTTCTTCCCAGCTTATGATTGTGTCCCACTTGTTGATTCTTCACATAAAAGTAAAATCTAATATCTTTATGTTTGTAGCCTGAAATGTGGAAGAAGTTGAAAGGTTAAGTTCTTTTGCAAGGTACTGTAATCTATGTAAATAAACCTGGTACCGTATGACCAGAAACAATGGTCCTTATTCACTCTAAGGAACCGGTTTACCTTGGTGATTCCAAGAACACCTATGTTGGGACTAGAGGAGGTTGATCCATTTCCGGTCCCTAACAGGCCTGCAATGATGCAGCAGACTCCTTCAGTGAAGATCCCCCTGAAACCAACAGATGGGTAATAAATGATAAAGCGTACTACTTGAGGAGGAGAGTCCACCCAGTGATGATCAGCCTCACCTGTTGATAGCATGAATTGGAGGCTGCGTGGCTCCAGACAGACGGGCGCAGGCATAATAATCTCCAATTGACTCGACAATCCCGGCCATGGTTGCACTCAGCATCCCCAAAACTCCAGCAACCGTTACCACCGGTAATCCCCACTGACCTATCAGAGATCATCAGCATCATTATGATCAACATCAGCATCATCAGTCATGGTTACACATAGGGTCCTCTTCCCTCTATCCTCAGGAAAGTAAAGCTCAATAAACTGTCTATGATGCAGAAATCCCGCCCAGTACTGTGCTGATCAGCTTCCTCTGCCATTTTTTATTACCTCACTGCAGACATGCCATGTGCCAGCCTGCCTCAAAGCCTCCACCATCAACCCTGACCCACATCAAATCAATCACAGATCCACCCTTGGATCTTCTGCAGTTTACCTACAGAGCCAACAGGTCTGTGGAAGATAATGCAATAAACATGGACCTTCATTAGAACCTGCTTCCTCCCAGGAACCTACTCCAGGATCCTGGTTGTGGACTTCAGCTCCACTTTATCACCATAATCCCATCCCTGCTGCAGGAAAGAAACCTCCCAACTGAGCATTCCTCAGATGCTTAGTTGGGAGTAGTGATAGTGCTCCCAACTAAGCACTGTCCCAGTTCACCGACAGCTGGTCTTTCAGTCAGCCGTCCTATCAACTCCTAATGTTTCAGATGACATCCCTCTCATTGGCTTCAACTATGAGGGGTGTGTCTTCTTAGAGGAAGAGGTTGATCATCTGGTGACCTGGAGCTATCTCGAGGTTAATACTCCGAAACCATTGGAGATGGTCATGCACTTTATCTCTATCATCCTTGTGGACTATTTTATGCTTTCTGATCACCTTCATCACCCTGGAGGAGCTGAACATCTCCACCCTCACTAGAAAGGCCCAACAGAGGATGTGGCTCCTGTTATACTGAAGAAGTTCAGCCTGCCAAACACAATGATGGTGCCTGACGTCACTGAGTCCATCCTCTCCTCCTTCATCACCACCTGGTAGATGCTGCCTCCTCCAAGGACCAGTGCAGGCAGTAGCAGATCACTGGCTCTAAAGAGAGGCTGATGTCTTCCTTCTCTTCATTAACTGAACACATCCAGGACCTAAAGAAGAGCAGGAGCTGTTGCAGCTGACCCCTCCCACCCTGTTACACAAACTGTCTCTTCTGATAGGAGCTGGAGGGCCATCAGGACCAGAAACTATTGCAACAAATACAGCTTTTTACCATCTGCTACTAACCACTTTAACAAGGCTTGGGTCCCACTGACACTTAAGCCCACAAACATATCAGTACCTGTGTGTGTCTATTAGTTAATACAATTCAATCTAAACTATATCATTCGAAATTTATTAGATTAACTTTTTGTTATTCTAGTTTGCTTGATGATTTCTTACATGGGTAAGGCATCCTGAACCAGGGGGCTGTTGTCATGATATCTCCACGAGCATCGGTACGTCCTTTGTGTCCATAGCGGTCCGGGTCAATAGGGAGCAGGTTGGTTAAAGTCATAACGTAACAGACGAGCCAAACCACCATGATGGCAAGAATGATCTGGGACACAGTTCAGAGAATGACATCACTATATCAGATCACCACTGACATCACCATCTCATGGAAGTCTTATTTACAGGAAACATCTTGAAGATCTGGACACGAGTGGATGTCAGTCCTTTTCTTCTGCTGTACACAGGAATTGGAAGGGATGTTGTTCTCAGGTACTGAGCAAAGAGGACAATCAACAACATGCACCTGCAGAGAGACACAGACAACAGGCAGAGGATGACGCACGAGTAAAACATCCTAACAGGTCAGAAACCTGGTTTGAAAGACAGCTGTCTTACAAGGCAGACAGGCCCCAGTGGGATCCGGCTCTGTCTCCAGCAGTGGTGAACACAGAGAGACCGATTAGGGAGACCGTGGGCGTGATGGTGAGTGGACCAATGTACTCCAATAGCAGACCAGGTAAACCACACAACCCGATCACCACCTCTACCAGACTGGACACGATGATAGCTCCCTGAATCTGAGGAGACAGAAGATCTCACCGTTTGGTTCCCAGCAAACCATCATACAAAAGGTAGAACCATCTAAGGAGCTGATGGACGAACATGATTTCCCTGAACTGGAACTAGATCATTTCAGGGCCAGTGGCTGTACACAGTTAAAGTCGTAGAAAAACGGCTGACCAAACCTATGCATTTTCCGAATACTCTATGAGTGGTGCCTGACTTTATAAAGTGACTGTGATTGGTCGTTTATCAAGGGTCAGATTGTTTTGGCGGAAGGTTCTCAAGGGAGTTTGATTGTGGCCGGTTTCTCTGAAGCATCTTGCTAACCAGTTAGCAATTTAGTAATGGGAAATTACATTGGGACGAAGTAGTACTAAAATGGTGAC